TGCATACTCCATTATGGCCTGACGTACACGGTGTACAATGTCTTGAACGATTCCTTACTAAGGTATCGGAACGTTATTCTCAGGTTTGCCAGGCATCCATACGTTGCAGCAGTTACCTGCTTGATGTGTGTTTCTGGAGATGTGCTCGGTGTTATTCTCACCCCAAGATCTTTCTCCTTGAGGGAGGTTTGCAGTCTTTGGCCACCTAACCTATACTATGTCTGCTGTCTTCTTTGCCCTTCCCCGATCATCATGACTTTGCAATTTTTGGGGTTAAATTCGAGAAGCCAGTTGCTGGATCACGTGTCCAGCCTGTCCAGGTCTCTCTGAAGTCCTGTCTGATCCTCATCTGATTTAATTCTCATTAACTTCATATCATCTGCGAACAGGGACTATTCCGAGTTTATCCCTTCCATCGTGTCATTCACATACACCAAAAATAGCACTTGTCCTAGGACCGGCCCCTCCTGTGTGTGTGTGTGCGTGTGTACTCGCCTATTTGTACTCACCTATTTGTGGTTGCAGGGGTCGAGTCTTAGCTCCTGGCCCAGCCTCTTCACCGGTTGCTACTGGGCCCTCTCTCTCCCCGCTCCATGAGCTTTATCAAACCTCGTCTTAAAACTGTGTATGGTTCCTGCCTCCACTACGTCATTTTCTAGGCTATTCCACTGCCTTACAACTCTATGACTGAAGAAATACTTCCTAATATCTCTCTGACTCATTTGTGTCTTCAACTTCCAATTGTGGCCTCTTGTTTCTGTGTCCCCTCCCTGGAACATCCTGTCTTTGTCCACCTTGTCTATTCCACGCAGTATTTTATATGTCGTTATCATGTCTCCCCTGACCGTCCTGTCCTCCAGTGTCGTCAGGCCGATTTCCCTTAATCTTTCTTCATAGGACATTCCCCTTAGCTCTGGAACTAACCTTGTCGCAAACCTTTGTACTTTCTCTACTTTCTTGACGTGCTTTATCAAGTGCAGGTTCCAAACAGGTGCTGCATACTCCAGTATGGGCCTGACATACACGGTGTACAGTGTCTTGAACGATTCCTTACTAAGGTATCGGAATGCTGTTGTCAGGTTGCCAGGCGCCCATATGCTGCAGCAGTTATCTGACTGATGTGTGCTTCTGGAGACATGCTCGGTGTTATACTCACCCCAAGATCTTTCTCCTTGAGTGAGGTTTGCAGTCTTTGGCCACCTAGCCTATACTCTGTCTGTGGTCTTCTGTGCCCTTCCCCTATCTTCATGTGTGTGTGTGTGTGTGTGTGTGTGTGTGTGTGTGTGTGTGTGTGTGTGTGTACTCACCTAATTCACCTAATTGTACTGTGTGTGTGTGTGTGTGTGTGTACTTACCTATTTGTGGTTGCAGAGGTCGAGTTTTAGCTCCTGGCCCCGCCACTTCACTGGTTGCTACTGGGTCCAATCTCTCCCTGCTCCATGAGCTTCATCAAACCTCGTCTTAAAACTATGTATGGTTTCCGCCTCCACTACGTCACTTTCTAGGCTATTCCACTGCATGACAACCCTATGACTGAAGAAATACATCCTAACATCACTTTGACTCATCTGAGTCTTCAACTTCCAATTGTGACCTCTTGTTTCTGTGTCACCTCTCTGGAACATCCTGTCTCTGTCCACCTTGTCTATTCTGTGCAGTATTTTATGTCATTATCATGTCTCCCCTGACCCTCCTGTCCTCCAGTGTCGTCAGGCCGATTTCCCTTATCCTTTCTTCACAGGACATTTCCCTTAGCTCTGGAACTAACCTTATCGCAAACCTTTGCACTTTATCTAATTCCTTGACGTGCTTGATCAAGTGCTGATTCCAAACAGGTGCTGCATACTCCAGTATGGGCCTGACGTGCACGGTGTACAGTGTCTTGAACGATTCCTTACCAAGGTTTCGGAATGCTGTGTGTGTGTGTGTGTGTGTGTGTGTGTGTGTGTGTGTGTGTGTGTGTGTGTGTGTGTGTGTGTGTGTGTACGTGTGTGTGTTCATTTACTCGTATGTATCATAAAATAATGACAGCTGCTATTGTCTATCCTCTTTCTGCTTCATCTTTTCCTTTCACGTCTTGTGTCCATCACATATCCCGCAGCTTCCTTGACTACAGAAACGATTCAAGCCAAATGTGCTTTTTTGAATATGCAAAGATTGCAACAGATCTTGGCAAACCCAGACTTGAACAATTAACATCAACAGGATTGCCACCCAAGCTTAATAATCTTACGCACATTCTGACTGACGCATTATCCGACATATTCCGACAACTTTACATTCTCACCCTCAGTACCTCCTCCTTGTACACCTACTCCGAATTTTACTTGTTTGTTTTGTTGCATAGAAATCCTCTTTCAATAAAACCGCTGCTC